AATATTATAAAGCTATGTAATTATATTAAATACTACTATTTACAGTGTCTTTTCGCTTTTTTTAAATATGTCTTAGTAGTTAAAACTTTGAATTACCTCAAGTTTAGCTTCTACAATATTTTCAAGATTTTCATCATCTTCGGTGGGCTCTTTCTCTAGAGGAGATATCCATATGTAGCCATTATTACCAATAATTATTGAAATGCCTAGAATATTGTGAAAATGGTTTTTTCTTCTCTTAATTAATGATGGGAATACCTTCACTAGAGTACCTTGGACTAACTGAAAATGAAAACAAACACCTGTATAATAACCACTTATTACTAACAAGTACCAAGTACAAGTATTAAAGAAAAAAATGTTAGTTTACTTGAATAAATAATTCATTTATTTTATGCCATTTCTAATGTATAAACTTACTTTGCCATACTTTAAGCTTCTTGTGTGTAGAGCGAGTGAGCCATCAGAAAATAAATTCTGTACTTCAGCACTAATCAGATCACCTTCCTCTAATACCTTCCTCATGGACTGTTCATCTTCAACTGACCGGCGACGCTATACAATGTGAAAATGGAAATGAATGAGTTATTGGTTGTTTCTTTTAAAAAACAAAAAAAAAAGGTTTTATTATTAAAAGAATTACTATCCCAAACCATCACAATTTCATGGACATAAAATTGGACAAATAATACTTAATCAAAACATACCAATTCTCCTCCAGGAAGATTGACTGAAGATAACTGAAGAATTGAGTCTAAACGTGAATTGGTATCTACTTTCCAGCGTCGCTGCTGCACTTCCAACACGCGACCAACAATAACATCTCCAATTTCCCCCACATATCGACTTTTTAAAGGTCTAATGCAAATCAACTTGTTAACTTTTTGCATGACACCCGCTACTGAGGACTTTAGATTGTCGTCTTCTGTATAAGTTCCGTGACCCCTATAAAATTAATGATAAGCATAGGATACCCTAGTTTATTGCCTTCGGGATTCAAGTGATTATCTTAACAGTTCTTACCGCATAAAATCCTGCATACCAGATATAACTTCTCCTGGCGTGTAAAAGCGAGGCAATTCATTACTAGTAGCAACACAATGGTTTACTCGTTCTGACGCTAATCTTATAGAAACGTGGCCCGTCATATTGTGTGTAATATAATTGCAATTACAACTTATAATAAAAATAAAACCAAACTTTTTCACCAAAATAATCGATCAAGCACAAGCATTGATTTGACTTTGACTGTCAAAGTTTGACGTTGACAGTTGTTTTTCACTTCAAGCACAGAAAATAAAATATGATGTGAAAAATAGAATACCTGTGCTTTGAGAAATTAATTATCTATGAAAATCATTGCCTATGTTCTCTCTATATATTCTCTATGAGTTGACAAAACTCAAATCTCAAATTTGTCAAATGTTAATAAATTTCAAAACAGACATAGGCTAATTCTGTGTTTTGTTGAATTTAATACTTTGCTGAGATATTCGTGGAATGTAGAGAGCAATTAAATTTCCTGATTGCTTAAGGATAAACATAACATAACCATGTCTGCTGCAAACTTAGCGCCCATAACTGCAACAGACAGTCTTTCCCAGGCTCTGAAAGCTAACATTATACCTAATCAAGAATACCTGCTACAGGTATGCGCTGGCATAATATCCATTCTGTTTCATATATAGTTTTGACTGAAATGCATAATTTCAATACTGGTATATCCTGCAGGGGTCTGTACTAGATTCCGCAGTAGAAGTTCTTCTCCATCGGCTTCGCGGGCTTTGTGACAACGTAGATGCTGGAACGGAAACCTTCGATGATCAGGAAGTTTGTTTTAGTTTACGAGATCCTAATCAACAGGTATGTGAACATAGATTGTGTTAATATGATAATAAATAAAATTCATCCGTTTTTTATAATTTTATAATGTTATTTTCCAGGCGGCACCACTCATGTTGCGTGTGAGAAAAGCACTCGATGCACGAGACATGCCTTTTCAGCTTCGCTACATTGGTCAACCAGATCTAGGAGACAAGACCAGACCAACTGTAGTGCGCTCAAGCCTTGACATAGCTTGCAGCGGCATGCTCATTGAGTTTCTTAACGAGCTTGGATGTAGGATTGAGTTTGAATACAGTGTTAAAGGTAGGGACCCAATCAAAACATTTTTTTGTCAAAACAGTACACATGAATATATAGTTTTGTTACATGCATATTAAAGACAAAGTAAGAATGAGTGTCCCATATTTATTTTTTAATTTCATAATTTTCTAATTTCAGGTTACATGTTTAGGAAAGGTCGCATGAAGATAACAGTGTCAAAGGTGTTTAAAATATCACAAAGTTCGATGTCACCAGAGCCAATTTCTCAAAGCTACTTAGTTGAATTATCAGTAAGTATAATGTACTTAATGTATACCTGTAATATGTTACAAAATAAATTACTAAAAAACAAGTAATAACCTAGTAGAGGCAAGAAGTTACATGTTTAAGTCCACTGCATACTCCTGATAGTTTTAACTGAACTACAGTACAATGGGGATGTTTCCTAATTTTTGGAATTGCTTTTATTATGTAGATAAACCATATCTAAACAAGAAAATAAATATAATAAAATCATATACGCAACATTTAATTACAAAAACACTTAACTAAAAACCACTTCTCGAAAGACCGCGAAAACGCCTCATGACATGACGTCACTTCTTTGCTAACAAAACTTGGGTCGCGGTCTGTCAAAGTCATTCAAAGTGACCAGACGTAAATTGAATTAGCTATTCAAATAACTTTTACTATTTTTTTTTCGTCATAATGATCGAAAAATTTGCTCGTAAAATATGTCGTAAATATAAAAACACTTAATAATGGAGGCCTCATTATATAACACACGCAAACTCAATTATTATAATCATTAAAAAAAATTATAACTACAAAATGCACTGACATTCACTGAAGCTGGTCACACTGCCATGTTGTTTGCGAAGAAGCTACGTCACCGAGCTCTGATTGGTGTTTGAGATAGAGTAATGGAGGGTAAAAAATATTGCAGTGTTTTTAATTTATATTTCAATGGAGACAAACATTTAAGGTCTCCAAATGTTATTATAGGTTTTAAATACTGTCTTTAAAATATTAAACATAACTTTATTTGAATTTGTAACATTAGGAAACATCCCCATTGCAGCCTTACAAATAAATGTAGTATAAAGTTAAACTTAGGAATAAACTGAGTCATCATCATCATTCACTTGCCCTTATCCCTTATGGAGGGTCGGCACAGTATGTGCTGCTCTTCCATACATCTCTATCAGTCGTCATATCTGTATAAGCAATATTTTTACTAATATTTGCTTATACAATAGAACCTCAATTACTCAAACCTTGGCTACTTAAAAACCTCTATTACTTCAAAAAATAATATGTTCTCTTCCCATCAGAGCCCAAAATCTATACAATTTAAAATTTGCAATCTCTTTAACTTAAATAAATAATCTCTGTATAACCTCAGTAACTTAAAGAAATGTTTCCACAACCTCTATAACTTAAAATATTTTGTGTTTCTCTTGGACTTTAACTTAACAATGTTCTACTGTATTCAGTTTATTCCTAAGTTTAACTTTTTATTTGGAAGGCTGTTAAAGTTTTGCCTACAGATTTAAAGTAGTGGGTTTTATTCTGAAATGAATCTTTTTAAATATGAAAGTCATTTGTAATGTATTCCAGGTTTTAGCACCACAAGGTCAAGATGCGATAGGTGAGGATATGCGGGCTTTCGCAGACCAGTTAAGGCCGCTGGTGCAACTCGACAAGATAGACTACAAGCGTCTTGGACACATGTCTGTCACCTAACAAATGTTCTTGCCTTAAACTGTGCTACTTCACGGTATTATAAATGTGAAAGTTATGTAAGAACACTACTGTTTTTAATATAATGAAAATAATCCAGTTATGAAAAGGACTTATAGCATAGAACAGTGTAAAGTGAAGAAAAGTGTTCATAAACTTTAAATTATTATGGGAATCAATATAAATACTTCAACTTGTTATAAATGTATCTTTAAGTTTTCACTGTAGAAAATACGTACTAAAACACATTGCTGTCTCTATTTTTGTAATGTAAAAAGAGAGTGTTGCCAGTTTTAATTAACAGAAACAAATGTAGTTTAATTTAAAAATGCACACTTTTGTTTTAAAACAATAAACCAATCATTTTAAGAGATTTTTTATATTATATGGCAACATAAATGTGGTAGATAATATTCTATGAGTAAAAATAAAATTAAAATATCTTGTAACGATATCTTAGTCAACAAAGTCAGGATTCTTCTTTGAACCCTTTATGATGATGTGATCCTCTCCATAGTCCTTGTCCTCGTTCTTGAAACCGTGAACATATGCGAAGTTCCCAAAGTATAGACATTTGTGATAATTCATGGCTATGAATTCTGTAATTTAACGTTTATTAGCAAAATAAGTACGGTTAATTTTTATTTAAACTTGTACAAACACTCCTAATCAATTCTATATTTCGTTATTCAGTTACGTATTCTAATTAGGACATAAATGTAGGAAAAACCTGTTTGTAGTGATTTTCGCAAAAGTGGGTAGTCTAAAAACTACCGTTTCGGAAGGCACACAAGCTGTTTTGAGGTCGATTACGATTGCTCGATTATTTTAGTTTAAGGTACAAGTTTGATTTAATTATCACGTCGAGGTTTATTATTAAGGAAGATTTAATTGAGCGAATAAGAATCTGTGCAGTAAACGATGAACGATACCCTCTTATTGGTAATGGTCCGAAAAATTGTTTAAACAACTCCGAACTCAGTCTGTGTATAGTTTCATATATTTAACAGACTCTGAAAATTAGAAGAGGATTTTTCGGTTTTTACCATTATTTCCGTCTTTTATATATAAATGATATATCACTGAACATAACTCTTATTTACACGCACACTTATCTTATTATGTTCATAATTAACCTGTGCCCTCGAAACAATTATAGAGATCCATTATGCAGTGGTTGTCGAAGATGTATGTAGAGTTGTCTTGCATATTGAAAGCGCAAGTTTTCTGGTAATATGTAGGGCATAATCCGCATCTGAAAATAACGGAATAATTTACAATCGGAATTATAGTTCTTTCAAGGAATCTCCCTTAGTACATTCCTGTATGATAAGAAAGTATAATTTCAAGTATATTAAGTTTACCTATGACCGTCGGGAGCAGGATTTTTCTTGAACACTAGGGGCCTATCGTACTCGTAAATGCAGAGGGCGCAGGTCGCTGCAAACAGAGCAAGCTCCTTGTCACATACATGTTTGTATTGTTAAAATCTACCAGTTCGGATCCCCTAATCCAAGTCATGTCATACTGAAATAAAAGGTGACCCCCGAAGATACAGCATTCTTCCTGAATTAAAATCTGAATTCTTTTTTACATACCTAGAGTTACTAAAATAAATACAGATGCCTCCATTTCAAAAGGCTAGTCATGTGGTACGACACAAAACGATTATTTTTTACTGACTTTCTTATCATTTGATTGAATTGATTTACGGGATATCAATAATTTCAAATTAAATAGAAAATGAAAATAATACGAACGAACAATTTAAGCTAGAAGCATGATATTGGTAAAAAATTTACTAGTGTAAAACTTCATATAATAGACATTGTCATAAAAAATAATAAATGTAGCTCAAGTGGCAAATGATCGGGGATATTAATCTTAATATGATCGATGGAGCCAAGAAAGGAAATTTTGTAACAGTAACTTTACTCTGTGAAGACGTAAACCGAGTCGGCCAATAATAATCTAAACTAATAAATAAAGAGTAAAGATTTGTATTATTGTACGTATTTAAATCACTCAAAAACTACTGGCCTAATTTCAAAAATTCTTTCACCATTAAAAAGCTACGTTATCAGTGAGTAACATAGGTTATAATTTTTTATATTTTTTTTAATTTCATGCGGACAAAATCGCGTGCAACAGCTAGTAAGTAATAAATGACAAACGTATCATTTGACATTGAATTCGATCTATCAAGAGAGCAGAGCGACAATTTTTCAGCTTCAAAGCAATGATTAACTAGAATTGTCTCAATCATTGGCCAGGCGCAAGAGAAATCAATCACCATTATACATCTAACAATAGTTCCTGGTAATAAATTTAGAATGAAGTAACAAAGTAATCTAAAATTCCGGTAATGTGTAAGGAAAAGCGACAGCTTAGCAGAAGAATGGCGACGTGACAAGCATCAGGCATCGCGGTGACTCATCGCCGTTCCTTCTGTTTTCAACGCGTTTTGTAATATATTACTTGCGATAATTATTTTAATGAGTACACAATCCGCAACCGCGACCCTGTCTTGATAACCCTATATACGAAGTCCTTTTATCGTGAATTTAGTTACGTGCTTATTTTATCATATATAAAGAGCTCAATGCAGTAATATTATGTGGAATTACATTGAACTAATAATCTAAAAGAAATATCTACATATTTAAATTTATATTTAATAGAATAGTTATGAATATAGTATTATTGGTTCATTTTACCGGTAAATAACTTACTTATCCGTTCATCACGAGCATTCAGTAAGTGACGAATGTAATAAATTAACACATACTTAGGGGCTTACGGCTGAGTGTAAACGTAGGCATTGGGCGCAATATATCATTGTTTATTGTGGTAAAGCATCATGATTCACTGTGCGTACACACAGAGCGCGGCCGCGGCGCGTAGGCCGCTAGTGGCGTGGGTCGGCGCTGCGATAGCTGAATAAAGCCTCAAACACACGAACGTTACTTCCAATGAGTTTTTTCGTTATCTGCGCAAACTATAACATTAAACCACCAAATTTTGTACCTAAAATAACTAGTCATCGCTAATGTTATAATGTTTTTTTTTCCTAATTACCAGACCAGAATCAGAACAAAACTAGACTTATACTAGACTTTTTAATTTTTATGCTTCTATACTAATATTATAAAGAGGAAAGATTTATAATTTTGGGATTTTGTATGTATTGAAAAAACTCAAAAACTACTGGGCCGAATTCAAAAATTCTTGCACCATTAAAAAGCTATGTTATCACTAAGTAACATAGGTTGTGTTTTTACTGTTTTTTTTATTATTTTACGAGGGGAATTCGCGAGCAATACCTAGTCGGTCATAAAAATAAAAAACTTTCTATGCGCTTAAATTGTCGCCCATCTGGAAATGACTTTATACCATGTTGTTGCGGAGTAAGGGGTGCGGGGCGGGCCGGCCGCACCAGACTCGGCGGCGCTGCGTGGCCGCGCCCGCTCACCTTGACGCTCACATAGCTAATAAAACCCTCAAATCAAACCTAATCAACTGTTTAACCCCTCCTACCTGTGCAAATTACTATTAGATTAGTTAGGGCCCTAAACAATTTTCATATTTAATGTCATAATGTTATCCTGTAGATACTTTGAATTAGACAAATTCTTCTATGAGAAAAATTCGTATTTTGTATGTATATACTCCAATATACTCTTTTGAAAATCAAGTGTCATTTGGTTTAGTTATTCATTTAATAACTAATAACGTTCTTTTGCTTTAACTATCCGACTTATCCCTATCTCAATCCGGTTACCTATTTTAATACCCGTCCGCGCATACTTCAATACAACTGAGTAAATGAGATTAAACTGATATCCGCTCTAATTCTGTTTAAAATCCGTTTTGAAATATTAAGGCTAACTAATAAATTGTAACCATATACAGATACAAAATAATAATAAAAGTATTCATTTCTTGACAATGAATAAATTACAATTAACCGATTCCATGAAATCTATTGCCATTGCATTTACTAGAAACCTTAAAAATGCACTTTGCAGCAAACAAAAACATCACAAGTTAGAACTGTGTTCATTAATTTCTAGTCTTATCAAATTTTACTCTTTGATGACGTCTTGATGTTTGTTAGAGTTTACCGCCTAAACGTCTGAACGTGTCACTATGAAAATTGGCATAAGTGTACAACAAAGTCTGGAAAAAGACATAGGCTACTCACTTTTGTTTTTTTAATTCCACCTTGACAGAGTCGGCGGCGAAAGTTAGTCAATAAATAAATAGGGAACTAATGCTTACTTGGTCATAGTTTTACGATTATCTATTATTTCCGTGGGTAATCTATTTTCTCAACCGTTTTACACACCTACGTATGTGCCCAGAAAATGATTTATTTTTGCGATTAAGATAATCTATGTAATAATATGTCTGCCGGTGCACAAAAAGATTATTAACGAGCGATTCGAAGGCTATGTGGCTTAAATTACCCCACCGCCCCACCGCAACGCAGTCGAACGACCGGCTACTGTCACTCGAATAAACATCAATGCAATTATTGTTGAGACCAAATTGTTTTAAATGTAAGCGTGTATTATTAGGTTTTTTTCGCGTTATCCAGATCGAGTAAGATGACACAAGTCTCAACTTTACTTTATGATGCAAAATACGTTATAATTTATAAATATTGTTATTGTTCTATTTTGAAAAATTGTTAAATTAATGTTAAGGAAGACTTGCAGGGTCGGTAAGCCTGTGATGAAAATGGAAATTGTTATATTACGGTTTGAAAACGCTCCATAAGCAAGTAATTGTTTTCCATTTACGTGTATATAGAATAATTGATATCTTTTTAATAATTTCCAATGAATATGATATATTATAATGTTTATATTTTGGTTTTAAAAAAAAATAAGTGGTATTTTCCGCCCACGTGAGTATGACATTCAAATTGCAATTCGTTGCGATCGTGACTTGAGGTTCAGATTATACAAAATAAGCAAATTAGGTTCAAGGATTTGTTAATCAAATGCACAATATGACAAATCACCTTTGTACGGTAATACAAAGTCAAAATGTAGCATCTTACCATCAACATACTAAATAACTATGACCTTTGTGTGTTATGTTGATATCCATCTATTCGTTTTTACTATCTAATATTTTTTTAACATCGTGTAGCAAAAATTGCATGTTGTAATTTATTCAAAAATATTATATGGATTTGTTGATTAATAATAAGTTGCGGCAGAATATCGATATCCTTTTGTGGTTATGATCGTGTTTAGAGGTGACCTCCGTCCGGTTCTTATTAACTTTGTCGATATGATATCGTAAGTAATTTACTAAATGGCAAAACTAATTATGTCAACGTTCGAAAGCGCGTCGTCGCTGGCGAGCAGATTCTTTAAATATCTATTAGTTATTCAGGAGAAACCTAGGCTCGTTGGTAATTTATTCAGTGAATTAAACGCGTGTCTGTATAAATACGACCTACCTTGCTCGCCATTGCACACTACGGCGTAAAACGCGTTCACCGATAGACTATCTAACTACAGTGTACACACACAAGCATACAACAGATCTAATGCAATATAAATACAGAGTAAATAATCAAGTACATCGCATGTGTAGTCTACAATCATACTCTGTTTATTTCCTTTGTTACTATTGATTAATCATAAACCACATGATCGGGTTAGATTTTCTATTCATAAAATTTTCCCGATGATTTTTAGCGTGGGTTCCTTCCATATTTACTATGGGTATGGGATCTCAAAGTTTTTTTATTTCAGATGAAGGTTCTGTTCATTGATGAATTTTTCATTCCAGCAGACATCTTGGTTACATTTTCTATTGAAATCTTATGCAGACTCGTATGCTAATATTATAATTGAATAATATTTCCAATAAGCTCGGTGCATATCATAACTGCTTGCAAAGAATAGAATACAACATGTAAATCTTTTACAGACAATAAGAAATATTGTTTAAACGAAGAGGTAACTTAATGAAACTCTTTCTTAAAACAGTGATACTTTGTCGGCGGTCGGCGCATCCACTCTCGATGCTCACGGTGTTCGTGTGTGCGTCTCTATATTAGTGGTTTCATTTTCTGAGAAACGGCGCGGCACGGACGCATCGGTGCGCGGGCGCAGGGGCGCGGCTCGGCGTCAAGCCCGTAATATAATCTGGCGGGTGAACGAGGCGGGGCGGGCAGGGTCTCCGGGCGCCGCGCCGGGCTTGTCAGACCAGACATCTTGTCGCTGCCTTAGCTACATCCTTACATATTAGACTTCCAATAATATTTCAGCATACAAAAATAAATGTAACAGCAGAGACAGAGACTGATAACGATACTGCAAAATTATTTAATAAATAAAACAAATAATACGACTTTTATTTTCTGGTATTATAATCATGAATATTCTTTATGCTTATTTTCAAAAAAAAATAGTAAATACAATTGACTGTCATGTTTTATCAACAGTTACTCGTATAGAATAAGAAAAACCACAATTACTACAAAAATAAAAAACTACGAAGGGCTACATTACCTAAATAATGTTTACTTATTTATGCCTACTTACGTTGCATATTTAACATTGTGAAATTCCAATGCGCGAGTCACTATTTATCGCGATAAATTTAGAGTCATTTTTGGGTAAATTACTACTGATGGCTTTGGTTAATCCGACTTCCGTCGCGAATTAAACTTTTCCTCTAAATGAGAACTTTTGTCATTTGTCGAAAATCGACTGCAAATTGGGAACGTTACAGACATTTCATCCGTATCTTTATATTTGTTCACCTATATGTCCAACTCATAAAATTATAATACTTTTCCTATTAATAC